ACACGAAACGTGCGTTACGTGTATGCCGCATTTCTCGGATATGCTGTAATCTTTCGAGCGTGGATACAGCTGGATCGTTTTACTTTCGAGAGATAGGTAGGAAGAAAAGGAGATAAATAGAGAGAGAGAGAGAGAGAGAGAGAGAAAGAAAGAGAGAAATGGATACATATCGTAACTTCTCTTAAAGAGATCACGATGATAGAATTGAATGGAAGCGAGGAATAGTACGTTGTATTTTTGTTGTAGTATCTTCTTGAGGAATGTCTTTGCTCGTAAAGGAGAGTCCAGAGAGAGGACACGAGAAGAAGAAAAGAGAGAGAGAGAGAGAGAGAGAGAGAGAGAAATACCCATACGTTCATATAAGGAGGTTTTCATTGAAAGAACTTGTTTCTCAAGCCAAATAGGGACGGTTCATTCATCCTGAGATGGAGCGATCAAGTGTAAGATATCTATCGTCAATAACAGTAATTGTAAACTCATGCTTTTATCGATTCCGACTTTGAAATTTGACTTATGAGTTTGTAAACAATAACAAACGAGTCGAGTTACCTTGAATGTTCGGAAACAATTCAGTCTGTCGCAGTATTTCGTCGTGGAAACATTCAAGGAACGTTCTAAAGAATTTTATTAATACATATATTTTAGTAAATTACGTACATTTATCATCGTTGGATTGTGCAAAAGAGCAACCTCCAAGGTAGTGAAACCCCCATCATAATATTAGTTTGTATATACTTTATATACTTGCGTTGCAATATTTCTTCTATAATATTGTAAACAACGTAAAGCACTTTCAAGTTAATAGCTACTTCGTTAGACATATGATAATATCAAATGGTTACTTTTGAATATTTCGTTTTAATAATTTACATAATTTCAAATTCAGTTGTTTCCTTGCATCACGTTAAACAAGATTTTTCGTAGTAATATTTATTCAATAAGATGGTAGAGTATTCATTACCGTACGCTGCGATCAAATCTAGTACCAGTCGTTAATGTTACTTACGTAATGTGGATATTCCTCTCGCTTAATGTCGCAGATAGGTCGCGTTAGAACGTCGCGGATGGAGGAACGTGTGAGAACGATGAACGAGCGTTGTAAAGCTTGAAGAATTATCGCTCAATACAATAATCGCTAATTGTACGTCAATGGAATTTAACGAAACACACGTTAACCCAAAAAATAAGCTGATAGTTTGATTATTCGAATAATAAAATATTATGATGGTCCCGGTTAATTTTATTCCATTTCTATTCTCGATGCGATATCATGTTTCTGTAATTTGATATAAAAAGTTTAATTGCAACATTGAAATGATTTGACACTTTTAAAATTAATTTACTTCGAGTTATTTTTAATTAAATTTATAACGTGTATAGTCGAAAGAAATGAGATAATAAAAAGGGATAGGCAAGGCGAACTGGTTTTGTTCTCTCAAGCGACAATGTATTAAATATTCAATGAATCGACATGCGAGAAGACGCTACAACACTTACACTATGAAGAAGTTGAATGCTTGTAATAGATCTGATTATTATCAACCATGCCATGCGTACGCCCAGTTTTATGAGTTATACCATAGTTGATATTTGAAAAAAAAATTTCTTTTTTGTGTACACATTAGTAGTAACATCTTCAAGTGCCGTCTATTATCCACTTTACCTAAGTACTTATGGTCGCACGGGCCACGTCCGTTCGAAGCGAAGACTTTCAAACGTGGCGGCGCGCATTTTGAAGCGGGTCAACTATTTTTATCTCAACGCTCACGGGTACGTTTCGCTCGTACGTCTCATTGTCTATTCGACGTCTGTCGACCTCGCGCTTTAACTACTTGTCCGTTTCCTATGACGATAATAACATACAATACTTTCAATTTCTACGAGCTATTTGTACGTCGATAATAAGTATGTAATTTTTGCTTTTTAGTTGTCACTTTGTTATTTTGCAACAACAACAAAAAAATTCTTCTATGATTATCATCAAAATTGCATAATTTAAAGGCACTCTTATTAAAGAAACGAGTAATTAGCGAAATTTAATCGTTCAGTATTGAATCTACCTAATATTTTTCTTCCTCCTTCCCCCATCCCTCCCCCTGCCCTCACCACCCCTCGTGATCGTACAGCATCTTTCCAATTAACAAACTTACCAGTAATTAACAATAAAACGACTAAAAGATTTAAGACAGGCCGATAGTGGTCGACCTTGTAATTACTGTAAATGGCAAATGCTATGAGATTCGAGGTTAAGTAAAAAGAAAAAAAGAGAGAGGGAAAAAAAAAAAGAAGAAAAAGAGAGGAAAGAAGAAGTATATTTTATTACATCGAGTGCAAACAAGAGAAGGAAGAAAAAGTACTTTCGTCATCGTTAAAATCATTTATTAGGGTTGACATTTTGTTTGTCGACGGAAAGTGTCAGTGTCTGGATATAGCCAAGTTTCATTAACGTTCCATCATTACGTTTAATTCCACTTGTTGCTTCATTGTTACGGCATGAGAGAAATACGACAAACATAACTGTTAAGACAATGTCGAGCAACGTATAGGCAATAGACGATACCGTTATTCTTCATGTTGGATCTTTAGAAAAGATCTCTCTCCCTCTCTCTCTCTCTCTCTCTCTCTTTCTCTCAATCTTACACTTGCGAACCCATTTCAATAGAACATCAATGAAATGTATTATGTTCGACTTATAATAACATCGTGAAACTTTTCATATACATCTATATATATATATATATATATATATATATATATATATATATATATATATATATATTTTTTTTTTTTATTTTTCTCTCTTCTTGAATACGCCAATAAAGTTGAAAACAAATCGAAGGTAGAAGGATAATGGAGTTCGTCCATGTCAGCGTAATAAAGTAGTAATTTATAGGTGTCAAACTTTCGACTAATGCCAGAGCTATCGACAACGGTACGATCGATCTTTCTCTCTCCTTCGTACTGTCGTTTCTTCGATGGCCGTTATTATGCTATTATGCGTTATACGGCTCCTATAGTATATACGTTTTCCTTCGTAGACTTTAGGCTCATAAACCAGTTTCGAATCAGCAAGAGATACTTATATGCACATACTATAGGTATGAATACGGGTTTGTTCCTCGAGGCTTCGCGAAATATAAATCATTAAAATATGTCGCGCGATCTTACCGGATACATTGCTGCGAGCAAACTTCGATAATAGCGATAATGCGATGTAATCGATCGAGCACGATTGATTAGCCTTATTGCGCTAGTCATTTAAAACACTTTTTAACGTTAATAACGATATCGACGTCGTACCGTCGATGTAGGTGTTGGAGGGGCGTGTAGATAGTACCATGTAAGTAGTCCAATTGATTATTCAAATGAGATAGGTAATTAGAGTTATTTACGATGCTGATCTTTCACTCGGTCTTACGTGCTTCGAATATCTCTCTTTTTTATTTATTAACGCGATGGTACGAGGATTGGGACACGATAATTGTAAGACGATTGAAATACGATTTCATTTTCATTATTTTCTTGTTATTTTGAAATTACGATCTAAGATATCTACTTACAATTTAATTCTTATCCGTTTAACAATTTAATCGAATAGTATGATCTTAACGCGATAAAATTTATTTTCCATTATTTCGTTTTTATCCATATAATTAGGATTACACGGTACCGATCGATGTCGTTGATATCGCTGTAATTTTATTACTTTTTTTCTTTTCCTTTTTTCTTTTTCCTCTTTTTTTTCCTTTTTTTTTTTCTTCTTCTTCTTTCTGTTACGTTAACCGTAGAATTATACAAAATTGCAGTGTACGCGGAACATTAATTATGTCACGAGGATGTTACGGAGCAACGCACGTGTTCTGATGTCATTGATCTCGTTGCGATCTAACCGCCGGAGAAAATATCGATGGTTTATGAATCGCGCTCGGTTCCTCGTACTTTATCATTGCCGGATGGTATCATCAATATACCAAGCGTTCTCTTGACTATTTCCAATCCGATGCGGACAGGGGCACGTTTCATAAATACACAGAAGAATATGCGGATGTTATCGGTTGTTCGTTCTCAATGTTTTGCTTCCAGGTAGTCTAGACCAGCGTTTCTCAACCTTTTTGCCATGTGATCCAACATATATATTAGATATCGCGACCCAAATATGAGTAGTATAGATCATATATTATATAAATGAATAAAATTATAGATACTTGACAATAATTTATAGATACGTATGAATTATAACATTCGATATATTTTTACTGAAAATAGTTCAAACGTATTTCGATTTATAACAAATATTTCAATTTTATTTTTTATTATTTAAACTTAACCATGGAAACGTTTATCCATTATTCTTCAAATTCGTTAATTTCTAAATGATCATTACCGACGAACTATCATTAACGAGAAACTCGTGAAAGATCATTTATTTTTGTTCTCAATAATATACTATTGTCGTAAAAGAAAGAAAGAAAGAAAGAAAATAGAAAATAGAAATTGACAAAGACCGGATAACTTTCCAAATTTTTAAACTGAATTAGAAACGTTTCGGATGAGAAAGCATAAAATCAAGACAATTAAGCGTGAACTCTGATCGTATTATTTTGAGTCTCGTCTCTTTTGAAGAGACTCAAACGTCGCATTTCTCGCCATGTTTCACGCACCTTTTAATGCATGCGCTTTATGGTAGTCGCCACGGTAATTATGGCTTTCTTCAATCACAGGGCCGACACTTACGACGCAATTACGATAATTAACGTCGTCATTTTGAGAGGAAGGACAACGAGTTACTTCCAATTATTATTTTCGTTTAAGTTTCAATTCGACGATTTTGTAAAAAAAGGAATTAATTTATTGATTTTTCAAATTTAACGATCGTATTATTATTACAATGAATATTTTTCTTTACAATATTCGTCATAATTCTTATGTATATTTCACGATAGAAGAAGCACCGATCTAAATAGCGAGAAAACACTAAGATAGTCTCCGTTTATTTTTAGAACGTCAACTTGGCAGCGGCTTTATGCAAATTCGTCGTCCACCAACGAGAACCATAAAATGCAAGACCTCAATAAACACCGGCCTTAACCCGATCCACTATAAAACGAACAATATAACATATGTTTCCTTTTTAGCCTCTCGGAAATAACCATTCTCCTATTGAACGAAGGAATCTATCGATGAGGCAACAAACGAGAGGGAAATAGACAGAAAGAAACAGGCAGAGAGAAAGAGAGAGAGAGAGAGAGAGAGAGATGAAGAAGGTCAGTTCTTTCAGTGAACAAGGCAAAAAGTAGTGTTTCTTCCATTCATTCGATAGCTTCAAGACCTTTACGTTTTACATCCAGACAAGTATCCAGACACGAACTAATTAGTTCTTTCTTGCTAATCGACGAGTTTCTTCTTGATCGTGCCACCTCGTTAACGCTCGTGCTCGTTGGATTCGATCTAACTCGATCAAACGACGATGTATATGTAAGCTCGTTATCGAAGGGATAGTCGAGATTAAATTCTTCGAGCAATCCATCGACTCAGGGAACTTTTAATTATCACCGTTAGGTTGTATCTTCACAACGAAAGATATATCGTTCATGTTGATCGTATTCCCGATAGGGATTTCAATCAGTATTCAATTTGTCTTTCGATGCTCGAAACAAAGTGTGATTTCACGTATAGCAGCTATAACGACTAGGCGATCAGTAATTAGTCACCGACAGGTTACCTTGTCGTTCTGTCGTAGATCCGTTCTTAACTGAAAGAAAATTCATGGTAGGTGCTCGTTACCGTTCGAGATCTTTCGCGTTTATTTCTATTTTGAAAGAAGTCAGATGATCATCCTATAACTCATTGCACAGGTGTTGAATCGAAGAGCAAATGCGAGCAGCTGCGATGATTATGTACAGCCCGGAGGATGTTTCGGGTGTATCGATAACAAGAAGTTTAATTTATACAAGTCCGATATTAATTTTTCAAATAAAATTATGAAATTGGGATAATCGAGTTTCTCGATTTTTCTCTCTCTCTCTCTCTCTCTCTCTTTCTTGAAATTGTCATTATTATCGAGGATAACCAAGGAATTCGCAACATTTTTCATTAACATTCTTGGATATCATTGGTTCGCCATTTATGAATCACATAGAATATCCATGGGAGGAAAACTCATCACGTCAACGATGTTCTTCTCTCCAAGAATGTCCATATCGCCGAAATAGCAGTAACCTAACATAGACGACTCTCCGCGAAATATCTAACTGGCAAATGTTAGTAAACCACGTTCGAGAACAGTCTGGGATAGGTAAAAAGGTCGTTGATCCTCTCTTAGACGACGTGACCCTTTACGAGCTTGCCAACATACGTCGTCCTGCTGACTTAAACTGGAAGTTTCTATTCGCTTGCTGTAATCAACAGTGCTCGACGCTGATGACGAGCTCAGCGAAAAACGAGTGACCGTCATAAACAATAATCGTAATGTAACTTTAAGAGAAAATTTATGATTCAATGAATTACGTTCAATTACATTTAAATTCATATTTTCTTTTCTTCTCTTTTTTTTTTTTTTTTTATTTACTAATGTAAAATTCGAAAGAAGATAATTTTGATTACGTAATTCATATTTAAATGTATTCGATCTTATTTACTAACCTCTTTACCATAGAAAAGATCATCGAATTTCGTTACATTGAACGTTAACAAGAAAGAATTTGGGATGTTAATATTAACATAGATAAATAGAAATATCGGCTGATTAACATTCGTTCCATTTGTAAGCGATGGTTGCTCGTTCTCATTGGTAGCAGAGCATAATTCATTATTTGTATGGATAAGGTAAGAGCTACCGTGGGCCCACGATCGAACGAAGCTTAAACAGAGGCGCGTCACGTTAGGAAATCAACGAAATTCTTAGCACGCTTGCCGCTTGTAAATCAACCAAGAGAATGCCTTTGCCGAAGGCCGACGAATTCGCACTACCAAGCCGTTAATATTAATATGTATCTTCGTACGATCAAGTTTTCATTGAAACGAGCTACCGTATAAAACTATTTTTTGCTTATACCTCTGACATCATCGATATTTAATAAATTAAAAAAAAAAGATAGATCAAAAAGGAATGGTTAATTTTTATTGATCGCATACGTAATCGTGTCTATTTAAAGAGAATAGGAATGGAAAAAGAGTTGAGTGAATGTTCGTGTTCATCAACGGAAATGTTATCTGTTAGTTGAAAAAACGTGAGAGAATAATTCAACATGAATTCCAAAGACCAAACGAGCTTCGGTCTCTATTGCATCTCGGTGTTATGAGGTCGATGCATTATAATTAACCAACGGACTAGACATTGCGACAATTCCCATGGGTAGCTCTACGAATTGACCCTTATAATGTACACGTTATTGCGATTTATTTTGCAATTAGTGCGAACGTTAATATATATATATATATATATATATATATATATACCTTTCTACCGATCGATCTTATTCATAATTCTTGTAAACTCGATTAATCGTAAATAAATGTATTTTTATATAAAAAATATTAAATGTAATATTAAATGTTGCAGTTTAATGTTCCCATTAAATAGACAAATGAATTTATGACGAAATTAACCTAGTTTTTTACACATGACTCATATGTCATGATATCATTTATTACCAAAACACATGGTACAATTAGAATTAATCATACAGTAAATTTTTATAAGATTTCTCATCCTAGTTTCACACCTAGTCTCGTGGAATTGGATAACGGAGAATAAACAATAATGTTGCGATATTGTAATGCGATCGTAACCACGCGCGTAGAAGAGAATTGCTCATGAGCACGTGTAAGAGATAAGCTTTAACATCGGAGGATTGTTACGTGAAAAATATTTGCCAAGATATCGTTTGGGTCCGTTAACTTTACCGCGAAAATTAGTCCTGACTTTTAGGAAGTCACGCTCGACGGCATGCCTGTCCAACAAGAGCTTTATGAACATCTGTATAATTATGGAGTAGCCTTCGCATATAATAATATAAATCGTCGTACATTAATAAAACGTATCCATGAATTAAAATCTCGTTTCTCGATTTTTTTTTTTTTTTTTTTTTTTTTTTTTTCATATAATAAACTTGTTCGACGTCATTAGTATGAAAATAACTCTTGATTGAGTCGGATAAATGATTATTGTAAAATAATCTTATTTTTATCTCATCAAAATGGACCGATCCATTTTGTCGAGTATTCGAAGGGCAATATCATTCAAAAATGATGTCTCATCGGAGAGACGAGAATACAAAGGGATGATTCTAATGAGACAAGCAAATGTGATGCAAAATTACATGTGATGATTGTCTGTTCGAGTGAAAGTCGGCAAATAAATCTGAGTGCAGTTTCTCAGGAATGTAGAAAATACCTCGACATACCATTGTAGTGACAGTATATCTATTGGATCGAGTAGTAGTATGTTGTGTTGTATAACGAGTAACAAGAAGAGTAATATCTTTCGACGCCAGTCTCGCTTCTACTTTGTATTCGTCTTTTCCTGCGTCATTTGGAGCAACGTGCGCAAGACACGCATCGCATTAATAAAATAACCAATGCGATACGAGTCGACCAATTGAAAACGTGTCTATAATTTATATGTTTTCTCGTTCTGAATATATATATATATATAGAACTCATCATGTTCATTTTCAAAATACATATTAATTGCTTTTAATAAAAGTATCGTTTTACCAACGATCGTCCTTAATAATTATAGGCGTCTTGTCGTTGCTGTATATCCGGATAACTTTTTTCATCTTACATAGATAGTTATAAACAATAGTAATCTTCATTCATTCCTATGAATTATTAACGCGAGATCGCTAAAGGAATGCATAGTGCATGTGTCCAGTTTCGATGAACGATTAGATAAGGACCAGGAAACAGCTCTCCCAATTTATGTCGATCGATGAATAAACAAAGTTATACGACAAGGAAAGAAACATTAATATTTGCAGCTCGTTAAAGGCGACGTTACAGCGTATTCCGAAAGAAATATGTCAGATGTATTTTATTAAATGTAGCATGCAATTATCCTGATGCATTGTCCATAGAAGTAACGCCTACGTTCATCGATGACGATGATGACGACGACGACGACGTGCTTTCAAGGATTCAGAAAGTGATCGGAGGCGACGATTTGCGATATCGTTTCACGTTATTTACGATAATTATGTAAATACGTAAATAATAATCAATACGTTTATTTCATCATTCCGATATAATCATATTTATGATACATTCATAGAAGGTATCTTATATCATAATCATTTGCCGCATGTATGTATATATGTATATGTTAAAAAATCGATAAAATGTTGTTATTAAGATATTAGATCATTTTTTTCCTCTGTTTAAGATAAAATCTCTCGGATCGTATCGTAACGAGCTCACAGGATCAAGCATAAATATTGGTTATACGGTGCGAGAAGTAGCATAACCTACGAGTATCATAAAGCGGTGAAGAGGGATACGAAAGGTAAACAGACGTTGGAACATCTATGTAAACATATCGGGCCACTGTGTAAAAGAAACACGTGTTTTCCGGAACGTTGCTCGGTATCTCTCGAAAGTTTTCTTCTTTCTCTTTCTCTTTTTCTTTTACATTTAGAAGAAAACGTAAAATCTAAAATGAATAGAAACCTATAAGTTTGCCAATGCTATTTTATCATCGATTGTATTTGTATCAGAAGTTCTTTACGTCATCGGTAAATTTACGAAACTACATCTTACTTATTTTTTTTCTCGAGTTTAGATTTATTTTATTAGAACTTGATATATGCGATCATACATATATATATACGTACAGTGCATGTTTTTAGCGCAATACACTTCAGAGAGACATAATATATGCCAGCACGATTTTCCTCTCCTAACGTGTTACGGTCGACGACTTCGTGAATCAAGAACAAAAGTTATTTTGGTAAGCACGGGGTAGCTCTGCAGCTTCTCTCAGTAGCATCTTGAAAGTGAGTACTCAAGTAAGAGATGAAATACTAGAAGTAATTTTATTGTTCAAGAACTAATCGAAATTTTACAATGATCTTAACATTTTCGTCTCGATTTTCACGTATCCGATGAGAAATTATCAAGCAATCGATTTTCCTAAGAATATCATTGAGAATTTTAATTTGTCATTGACTTTATCTGCAGTTTCTTAATAATTTTTTAATCAATGATAATCGGTATTCGAGATTATATGACCGGTTAATTTCATGTAAGGGTTTACTTTCGAAGGTTAACAAAGATTCGAATCAACTTTCAAATCCGATAAATACGCATCAACGATTTGATACGATAAGAGATCGATTCGTACACTTTGATGACCTGTATATTGTTCTTGACGTACATAGGTAGATACATGCACTAATTATCGATCATTGACATTATGGGCGCGGCTAATCAACCGGTGAAAATTGCGCGAATTATGTCTGGTGAGACATAAGTCGTGCAATTCGATTTTAGTTCGTGGTATATAAATTGCATTGGTTATGTGTATGTAACTACGTGCGTCTGCGTTGTTCTGGATAATTGGCCTAACTGCCTTGCGACGAGAAGTAAAGCGAGACGAATAAATCATACTTTACGAGGGATTTATAAGACTCATTCCGATCAAAAAGCATAGCTCAGCCAAGCTGAGCTTCTTTACTCTCTCGATAATTCTTCTAACGAGAAAATTCTTGAGAACGTAAATTCCAACGTTGAATAGTCAGGATACTCAACAACGAGTTGAGTAGTCATTCAAACTTCTTGCGAAGTGTTAAGCATATATAGGAAGTTCTTAACGCTATCGAAATTATTTATCGTAAACGTCTAATGATCGATAGAAAATTTGCTTATGAATTTGGCGCGATGACTCGAATCTTTTCATGATTCATATCATAAATCGGTGTAAGGGTCAATGACTATACGCTTTCGAACAGGTACGTTTCACGTTGCGATGTCGACCGCTATTAAATAAATAACGAGTGTAATTGGTTTTAATAATATTTTATAGAAAATTATTCTTTATAGAGAATCATCTTTCGTATACGAATAAACTTTAGTAAAATATTGAGATTTATTTTTAAAAAGGCGTTGCATTTTCTTAATGATATTAAATTAAAGAAAGAAATTATTAAAATATTAAGAACACCCACGAATAAGGAGAATAATACTTATCGTAAAATTAATTGCTTAATTTGCCTTTCTTTGCCTCTTATCGCCTCCTTTCTACTTCGATACATGAAGCGAAAGGGCAATGAAAAATTCTCAACACGCGACTCGTGGGTGTCCCTCGAATTTACGAGCACGGCCCTATTCATTAGCCCTTGTTATTAAACCTCATCGTTCTCCTCGTTGGCACGGTTGCGTGCTATGATTCACGCCTCCCGAATCTTTATCGCTCGTTAATTTTCTAAAAGGGCCGAACAGTCCTTTTTAACTTGGTATTTC